CGAGGAGACCGATCAAAATAAAATAAAAGGAGAACGGGGAACGCTTCCCACNGAGGAGACCGATCAAAATAAAATAAAAGGAGAATGGGGAACGCTTCCCACACCCGCCTGTGCGGCTGATGTGCGGGCACACGGGAGTGGTGTCACCGTGTATATTAAAAAAAAAAAATGTGACACAATATGACACAACGAGTCCATCTCTATCATAGAAAAGAGTCAGAGACAGATTCACAATGGAATTACAGCGTCAGAGAAAACTACCTGTATGTCTACGATTACCTCTTCTTCGTAGATGCGGCATAACCGCCGCCTCTTCGAATCCTCTAGAGGGCAAACAGGGAAGCGTCCGATACTTCAATTCCTGTTTTATGGCCCCCATACTGTCCCCCTAGCGCCGCGACCACCGGACAGTCACGGCCCATCATTGTATTTTGTGTAGATTCTACGCGCAGCCGCCAAAACATTGTCTGCCTCTGAACACTTGGAAAATGACTTCCCCAAGTTTCGTCGGTGATGTTTGCCTCGGGACACTTGGACACCGCGTTCCCCGCGTTTTCCTGGTTCGCCTGTTTGCCGACTAATGTTGTCTAAATTGTTTTTTTTTAGTTCCATCGTGCCGCAGAAGTGTCGCATACGCTTGGTGCAAAGGGATTCCATCCCGTGGCGTCGCCTTCTCCCGTGGATTTTCGTCGTCACCCACACTTCGTTCTGCTTCGTCTCCATCATCGCCACCTTCGGGCGACGCCTTCATCACAGTAGCGCCCCTGAGTCGTCGTCTTGTTATGTGAATCTCTACGCCTTTCTGTGTTTTATGTCTTTGAATGATGCGTATCGCCAGCGAGCCATAGCGCAGTTCGTCGACCGCCTCTCTTGCATTAATCGCTTGTGCTTTGCATCCTTGGTCCTCAATAGGTCTTGCCCCTGCCGTCTCCTTACAAAATACGGGTTGGGTACCTTGGCACGCTCGCCATCGTTCTCCGTGCCTTTGCCTGTCGTTCTTTTCTCCTGCCCTTCGTTAACGTCCTAGATTGCGTTGAGTTTTCCCTTTGCGTCGCGTCCAGTATCAAAGGCCGTATTCGTTCGGAAATTTGTTTGGGTTTTGAGTTTCGTCACCGTATTTTGGACTCGCTCGGGTAGTCACCCTCATTCCTCCAGCGGTGATACGCGCGGGTGCGCGTAAAAGAGTGGTGTGTGTCGTCTGGATATTGATTTTTTTTCCTGTCGTCGTCTGTTCATTATGATAGCGTGCTGTGCCGCAATACATTTTCTTCGTAGCTTTATCCCTTCAAGCGTTGTCATTGAGATGTCGATGTTCCGTCTCGTGACCGTTCGCTGATTCTTCATCTCAATGATGGTGTGGGGGATTGATTCGGGATATTTCTACAACTCACCCTCCTTTTGGATGTTTTGTGAAGAGTCATATCTTCGATTCATGATCATAAATCATCAGCTAAATCATACTATTGTAGCTTTAGGATTTGAGCATTGATTTGAGTATAGAATCTGCATATACATATATGATATTCAGGGTGGGCTGGTGTTAAGGAGTGTGGCTGCTAGCATGAATAGGGTACATCTTATTGTTGACAGGATGCGGGTTGGTCAGGAGGTATACCCTTCTGACTCCTACCCCCTTAGAACTGTCTACTCTGTGTACTCCCTGAGATGAAGTTGGATCCCCACTTCAGCTCAGACCTTTGCTGAACGTCTCTCAGCAATAACAAGCGACTTTCCCATCTCAACGTGGTCGTGGACAAGCGAGTCAACAACAGAACATTCATCTATCTCTAGGAGCAAGCTACCGCCCACGGCTTCACCTTCTGGACGGAGTCTACCACATGGAATCCGGATCGGGGAACGCATAGGACCCGATCGAGTTGGAAGAGAGGGATGGCGGTGAGAGAGAGAGTTCGGAAGATGACTCTGGGGAATCGTCACCGACGGAGAGCGAGGACGGCGGGAGTGGAAAGCAGAAAGGAACGGAGGAGGCAGTGGAGCCACAGGAAAGCAGCGGTGATGACTCACCGGCGGGGAGGGGGGGGTGAAGAAGGAGCCAGAAGACGACACGCCGGGCAACGGGGATGGATGCCCCCTCCGAAGAAATCACACGAGAAGAGGTCGGGTTTCCGCAGAGGCCCAACAAATGGATGCACCAGTATCTCCTGACATTCTGTTTGATCGGAAGGCCATGCAGCAGCGAGGACCCTGACCTCCGAACCGCACGCAAAACATCCGGAGGGCTGGGAGCTACCCCCGCCGCGGACACGGGTGTAGCCGCCGCGGGCGAGGACGACATGCGGGCTGGGCTGCCTCCTACCCCGGCCGTAGATGCGAGTGTCGCCGCAGCAGGCGGAGTAGAAGCGGACGTACGGAGTGCAGCTCCTGCGCCNGGCTGGGAGCTACCCCCGCCGCGGACACGGGTGTAGCCGCCGCGGGCGAGGACGACATGGGGGCTGGGCTGCCTCCTACCCCGGCCGTAGATGCGAGTGTTGCTGCAGCAGGCGGAGTAGACGCGGACGTACGGAGTGCAGCTCCTGCGCCAGGTGGTGTCGCCGCCGAGATGGGTTTGGCCAAGAAGTAGCTGTCGGGCTGCTCGTACGCGGCCATCATTGTGGCTCGCAGTTCCATCTTTTTTTGTTCGGATGGTGAATACTCCAACATCCCCTTGAGGTCTGCAATTTTAGCGTTTTTGGCCTCTCGAGCGTCCGCCAAGCGAGCCCTGCCTGCGGCCTCTTCATCCAAAGACTGCCTCGACACAACAGCCGCCGACAGAGCTTCCACGGCCGTCACCAGCTTGCCTGTGTTGGTCTCCTGGACGCGGCGGGCCTGCAGTTGCGCGTTGGCGGCCGCTACCGCAGCAGTCTCCTTCGTCTTGGGCACAACACGTCTGCAACACGGTCCGCCCTCCCGGGATTCACCGGGCCGCGGAAGAGGGGTGGTGTTGGTGCGAGAGCGGCACGTCCCGTTGCTAGCGCGGCTGGACACGTGAGAATTTAGAGAGTGTGTGTGTGTTTTTTTGTGTAATGGCTATGGCAGCCATGCTTGTCATGCCCTCTCCACCTCTGTCCCCTTGTGCTCAAGTTTTTTTGTAAAGACGTTGTTTGCACCGTCCGACATGCCTTCTCTTTGGGTGTTTTTTTTTCTTGTACATGTAGCGGTTGTGTTTTCTTTTTGGCGTACGGGCTACGGCAGTATCGCTTGTCATGCCCCCCCCCTCCCCATTGTTCCCACGTGTTTTGAAAAGACGTCGTTGCACCGTCCGACATGTCTTTTCTTTGGGTATTTTCGTTTGTCTTGTAGCGTTTTTTTTTTTGTGTGTGTGCGTACGGGCTATGGCAGCCATGCTTGTCATGCCCTCTCGCCCTCCGTCCGGTGAGAACCCGGCGTGCTCCGTCCAGGCTTTGTAGGGATGCGAGGTCAATGGTCTAACGACTACGGCATGCACGACTATGAGTACACCCCCCCNGGACGTTGTTTGCACCGTCCGACATGCCTTCTCTTTGGGTGTTTTTTTTTGGCGTATGTATGGGCTACGGCAGTAACGCTTGTCATGCCCCCCCCCCCCTCCCCCCTTCGTCCCCACGTTTTCTTGTTGATTCTTTGATGCCTCATCCGACAATGTCTTCTCTTTGGATGTTGAGTGTTTTCTTGTAAACGCTTGTGTTTAATTTTGCGTATGGGCTGCGGCAGCCATGTTCGTATGGGCTGCGGCAGCCATGTTCGTCATGCCCTCTCCCCCTCGGCCCCCTTGTGCCCAAATTTTATTGTCAAGACGTTGTTTGCGCCGTCCGACATGCCTTCTCTTTGGGTGTTTGTTTTTCTTGTAAACGGTTGTGATTTTATTTGCGTGTGGGCTGCGGCAGTAATGCTTGTCATGCCCCCCCCCCTTCCCCACGTTATTGGTAAAGACGTTATTGCACCCTCTTCCCCCGACCCTGTTATGCCGGTTGTTTCGCCGCGCGTGTGCGTGACCAGCATCGGTGCCCTATGTACTGCAACGTACCGCTGAATCCTTCGGGGTGCCCCTTCTGTGCCCCCTTTTACTGTGATGCTGATTGAAATTTCGTGTCACCGTTGCACTGGTGGAAAATGATTGTGGTTCGTTGTCAGGGATAGAATCCCTCTTGACGCCTTCTACAATTGCAGTTGAGAAGAAGACCCGTCTTGCAAGACCACCTCTCCTTTGTGCGACGACGTTTGCATACACCGCATGCCTCCCAGGCCGAAAAGACCGGCAGGTGGAAACAAATATGCATGCATAACAAGAGAACCACACACACGTGGGACGGTGGGGGGTCTGCAGCAAAAAGTAATACTGCCGTAGTCCGTACGCGAAACAAAGGGCACGCACAAGAAAATGTTCACCCGAGCACCACACAAGTCAGTTGGTACAACCAAAAAGCACGTGGTGGGTACGGGGGACAGGGAAGGGGGGGCGGTGGGAATGAAAATAAAACCCATTGCTGCCGTACCATGTACCCAAAAGAAAAAAGTCACACATGCTACCAGAATATATTCACCCGAGCACCACACAAGTCAGCTGGTACAACCAAAAAGCACGTGGTGGGTACAGGGGACGGGGAAGGAGGGGGGTGGGAATGAAAACAAAACCCATTGCTGCCGTACCATGTACCCCCCCAAAAAAGTCACACACGCTACCACAAAATCTTCACCCGAGCACCACACAAGTCAGACGGTACAACCAATAAACACGTGGTGGGTACAGGGGACGGGGAAGAGGGGGGTGGGAATGAAAATAAAATCCATTGCTGCCGTACCATGAACCCAAAAAAAAAGTCACACACGATACAAGAAAATGTTCACCCGAGCACCACACAAGTCAGACGGTACAACCAAAAAGCACGTGGTGGGTACAGGGGACGGGGAAGGTGGGGCGGTGGGAATGAAAATAAAACCCATTGCTGCCGTGCCATGTACCCAAAAAAACAGTCACACACGCTACCAGAAAATGTTCACCCGAGCACCACACAAGTCACACGGTACAACCAAAAAGCACGTGGTGGGTACAGGGGACGGGGAAGGGGGGGGTGGAGTGGGAATGAAAATAAAACCCATTGCTGCCGTGCCATGTACCCAAAAAAACAGTCACACACGCTACCAGAAAATGTTCACCCGAGCACCACACAAGTCACACGGTACAACCAAAAAGCACGTGGTGGGTACAGGGGACGGGGAAGGGGGGGGTGGAGTGGGAATGAAAATAAAACCCATTGCTGCCGTACCATGAACCCAAAAAAACAGTCACGCACGCTACAAGAAAATGTTCACCCGAAGGCTGCACAGGTCCGACGGTGCTGCAGCGGTTTGTGTAAGACAAGGTGGGGCGCAACATTGACACTATGGAAAGCTCTACAGCACACCGGAGTCGATCACCTAGAAAGCCAGACAATGTCCTTCTTGTGCTTCTTGCGGTATGCGAAGCTCGTAGTAAGGTTCCTCTTGCGCGCCCCGTGCCCTTTCTCTACTTTGTCGTTGGTGTCCTTCGCCCCAACAGAGCTAGAGCCCGCCTCCTGCTCGGTCGCCACCCCAGTCCGCCCCGGCACTGCTGACCCAGAGCATGTTCTCCACCAGCTGGTCCATTCCGTCAAGGTGTGCAGTATGTTGTTCAAGATGCAGCACGTGAAATACACGTTGTCGATGCGCTCCTGCTCGTGGTACGCCATGGCGAGCTTCAGGATCCTGAAGCGACCCTTCAGGATGCCGAAGAAGCATTCCACGTCCTTGCGCACGCTCTCCAGCCTCTTCGAAAAAAGAATGTTGTTCTCGCTCAGCGGGTGCTTGGTGAGTTCCATTAGGACTTTCCACTGAAAAAAAAACGACAAGGGGAAGGGAGAAGGGCCGAGGGAGGGACGTTTCGATTCGACGCTGTTAACAAGCTGCGTAAAAGGGGGGGGCAGGGTCTTCGAGGTCGAAGGGGCGTGCAATGGAAATACCAANAAAAAGAATGTTGTTCTCGCTCAGCGGGTGCTTGGTGAGTTCCATTAGGACTTTCCACTGAAAAAAAAACGACAAGGGGAAGGGAGAAGGGCCGAGGGAGGGACGTTTCGATTCGACGCTGTTAACAAGCTGCGTAAAAGGGGGGGGCAGGGTCTTCGAGGTCGAAGGGGCGTGCAATGGAAATACCAATCAAATAACCTAAAGCCATGACACACCTCATGTCAACTTCAAGAGCGGGCAACCGAGGTTCTGATTTCCCGAGACAACATATACCTCACTGGGCAGCTCTCTCTCCCTCTTTCTCTTTCTGTCAGGCCGGACACACACCTCTTCAAAAACACTACCGTCGGTCACCCAAAATCACAACATGTCATTTCCATCCACCTTGTGGTACCCGTTGTCGACTAGCAAGTAGCACCCCTTGAGCGTTGTCGTCGTGCCATCCTCGTTGTACACGTCGAAGGTCTGCTTCGTGTACTGCTTGTCAGTCCGAATCTTCTCGACCGCGGCATCCCAGCAGACGATGGTCTTGTCGTTCGTCGAGCCGGTGAAGCCCTCGGTCACGGCAATTGCACGGCCAGCGTGATTAACCGTGACCTGGTAACCGATCGTAGGAACCCCTTCTTTGACTGTGGGGTGTTCCGCGGTAAAGACGAATTGTCTCTCCCGCGGCGAGGAAAAACTCGAATGAAAAACCGTTCTTGGATACTTGTCTCAAACGACGTTTAAAAGCGTAAAAAAAAGAGAAACAAAAAAAGTGGTGATCGGATCGCCTTGATTGTTTTTTTTCACCGCGTTGCCGATTTCGGCGCCTCCACTTCTCTTCAGCAATCGATTCCGCTTGGCCGATTTAGAGGGGGTAGAGTCACTCAGAAAGTTGATCAGACAAAAACTCGACGTGGGAACCGAGAATCCAAAATCCCAGGAATTTTGAAATGGCTCAGCTACTGTCAGCTTTTGAGCAGCTGAAAGTCCATTGCAAATCAAAACTGGGACATTCCAACAATATATTTGTGATCGCCACCCCAAAATTACCCTAATTCGAAGTCAGGAGAGATTGAATCAACATGTAGAAAGTGTTGCGGGAGGGGGGATATTTCAGTGTAATTCCTAGNCCCCTGCCGAGTATGGTCAGCCAGGCCAGTACCTGCACCAGCAAGTGCAACAAGGAATGTACACACAGTATAGGTGTCATCATTAGTGATGTGATGTGGTTGCGTGTACCGTACGTCGTGTGGAAGCATCTCACGGGCGGGAGGACTGAGCATTGCGCCGTACGCTAGCCAACAGAACGACTGCCAGTTTAGCTTTGCGATATCGCGCCGACTGCAGCGCTCGTCTCCTGCGTTATCTCGGACGCCAGTTCAACCCGATGTGACGTCACAACGGTGGTGCTGCAGTTGTACATAGCAGCAGTTGAACCAAAAGTGTACATCATGCTGTACCTACAGACAACAACGACGAAACACTGTCCGGTGAACATATGCTGTTGTGCACGACAGCAGAGCGGCCGGGTGCACTTTTTGCGAGGGTTGGAGAGCACGGCCAGTGGTCACCAACGGCGTCTCGTCAACGACATGCCCAGGAGACGGCATGCAGCTGCATACACAAGTACAAAAAGCGCCTGGTTCCTCCGCCTTTGTAATGCACTCTACACAACAGCAGCAGCAGCAGCCCCCTCCTTGTTGGTTGTGGACAGAGCATCTGTACTGCTGTACGATTTGAGTAACATGTTTGAGCCCGACTGTGCGAACACGGCCAGCGGTCGCCAAGCGAGTCGTGCCGGCCATGCCCCAGACACGGCATGCAGCTGGCAACAGGAGGAAAAGAAAAATGTTGTCGACAGCAGTTGTCCCTCGCTGCATATGTTCAACTCTACACCACAGCAGCTCCCCTTCTTTGTTATAGGCCAGAGTCTGCACTCGTACGAACCCCATATGCCGTCAGCCTACCTTGTGCTCCACTGGGTGGCTTTGCCGACCTGCTGCATCGCAGCCAGAAGTGGTGAACCAGTCCTTGCTCTTCACTAACGCCACGGGCCGCAGAAAGAAGCTGAAGGGGAGGCGGAAGTCAAGGCGAAACTGCTTGGAGGTTATGCTGTTGCTGTCCTCGGGGTCCTTATCCTCCAACATCTGTGCCCAAGCGCATTTCTCCACGTCTTTCCTCTTTCGCTGTCCTCTTGAGAGTTTAGGGCGGGGAAGGTCGGGCGCACGATCCTCCTCCTCTTCTTGCGACAAGTCGTTGCGTTGGACCTCATCAAGGGCGACCAAGGCCACAGTAAGAGCGGTTCCTGGTAGCAGGGCATCACCCACACCGGTTTCGGCCATCGGAAGAGAGCCCAGGCTGCTGATGTAGGGTGGAGTCAAGCGAGTGGCACTCCCGCCGCCAGCGAGGATGGCAGCGATGGCAGCCACTTCCACATTGGCGATGCTTGTGTGTGTGTGTGCCAGCAACGTCGGCGCGTGATTCGATAAAAAGACAACCTGTTCGGACAAGCGCATCCTGTCAAAAAGTTGCCCGAAAAATGACAGGATCTACTGCTGGAGGCTGTCAGAAAAACGACTGCCTAAAAAAAGACATAACAAATGGCCTATACCTAAATCAATATATTGAAATACATTCTTCTTCATTCTTTTCATTTTTTCTTCACTTCGGATCAGCGCTCACTCACGGCACTAGCGCCGTTTACTCCAACCCGTGGTCACATAGAAGAGCCCCTCTCTTCCCTCCCCTCCTGCGGTACGTTACCTTCGATTTCAAATGCGAGAAGAGTTCAGCGTTCTCTTCCCTCTGTGTACACACGCCCCGGTGGTCTAGTGGATAGCCTCGCAGCCTGCTAAGAGCCAGGTCATGGGTTCGAGTCCCGGCAGAGAGAGTTTTTTTCTCACTACATAAATCCTGGTCTAGGATGAAAACGACGCGCTGCTACTGTAAGCTCGTTTGTTAGTAAACCATAATCGACTTCGTAAGTCGCGAGGGAAGGGATTGCTGTACCATTCTCGAGATAAAAATACCTCAGGCATGAACCGCAGGAGGGGGTCCAACCCCCCCCTCCTATGTGACCCCCGTTGGGTCGTCTAGCTAGTAGAAGTGGAGGATAGGGGCCAGAAGGGCAGACGACAGAGTCCATTGATGGGAGAAAAAAAAAAAAAAACACGAACTAGCGCTATCCACCAGTCCAGGAGCGGAAGCGAAGACATACATTGCAAGAAAAGCTCGCTTACCCCAGGATTCGAACCCCTGACCTGACCTCTAGCAGGTTCCGAGGTTGCCAACGAGACCACCGGGGCGACCGGCGAATCGAAATACTGCTGTGTAGTAAACGGGCCAATGATAACAAGCCCACAAGCCTACTGCAGGGACATATTTTTTTCAACCAACCAAAGATATTCCACCTCCCGATCTAGTTCCTATGGTGTGGCAGGGTAGCCGCGGCTAGCCGTGGCTACAGTCGTAGAGGTGCTACAACACCTGATGGGTGATGGATTCCCTTCCTTGCCATCTCCGCATCTCCGTGAGAGCAAACTGGCTTTCCTTGACACCGCACCGGACGCTCCGTCAACCATTACACGCCCGAGCCGTCGGAAGAGACGAGGCAGACCACCCACACCCCACACCACCACACCACTGGCAAATGGTTGAGAATTTGCTCGAAGGAAACGCTTCAACGTGTCGAGAGCACCTGTCCATTTTTTGTTTTTTGTGAATTTTTTTCTTGTTTTCTTCACATTAAACTCATGTCCATGTCCACTACTGCTGTATTGTAATCAATTCAACCAAAGGAGGATCTTCCGCGCACAACCAATTAAACCTTCAACCACCAACCAGGCACACGACACGATCATCGGGTATCGGGGAGCTCCGAGTAGGCCGCGGTTCCGAGTGCGCGAGCATCCCGACCTGTTGCTGGGCAGACAAAAGCGACACCCTCCCACGGTCTCTGCTTGTGGTGGTGATGAAAAGAGGCCCGCACGGCGTTCTCTCGTGTGAAAATATTGGAAACGACACAGCGAGCAAGAAGTACCGGTGAGAGAGGAAGGTTCAGAATGCAGAGGCGTTGTGCCCGCGAGTCCGGCCGCGGTTGTGTTGAGGCTACCCCACGCGCCGATCCTGGTGCATGGAGGGCTGCTGCTGTCAGCTACGCGCTCCTTCTCCAGCGCAAAACAGTAGTAACAGCTTTCTCAGAGATCGAGAGGGTGGATATTCTGTTTCCTCAGCAATCAGCCACCTAACGGCATAGCCATGCAGACAACAGCCGGGACATTCCCGATGGCGCGCACGATGACAAGGCTTGCGGTCTTGATCTGGCAGAGGATCAGAAACTACCATTGGCATTATTTCTGGCCACGTTTCATTGTTGGCATCTACAAGGCTCTGACTCTACTCTTGGATGGACAAGCCAAGATCGCGGGCATCCGAATGGTTGTGTTCGGCATTATGTAGTTGCTGGGTTCGTGTGTGATGCAGCAACTGACTGAGCAGAGAGCTGCATCAGAATCCACCGCTGCCAGTGGCTTTCCCGTGTATGCATGTGTGAAATTACAACCTGCCCAATCCCGCGCCTCCCCCCCCTCCCCTGACCTGCCTGCTTTAAACGACGAAACATGCTCAACAGCTGCAAGGGCTGCTGCTGCTGCTGCTGCTTTTGCTAGGTATGGGCACCTCCAGTTCAAAGCCGGACTGGTATCCGGGAGAGCCTGAACACTTCAATGCGCCGCAACAATGCTCGTGCAACCAGCGACCACATTCTTCAGGCGGAACACACGCCGCCAAGACACAGGCTTCGGGCGAGGATACGGCGGCGGCGACAGTTGGGAGGTCTGCAATCACGAGCCTTCCTGTGGTGACGCTCACGGACATGGAGGTGGGCACGAGGGGAGAAGCCCGCGAGGAGCAGAGAGAGAACGAGACTGCTTTGTATTCTTTTGAACGGGGTACATACACAGCAGTAGTCTCTATTCGCATACCATGTAATTTTTTTTCCAACGTTTGCTTCCATGAAAAGAACCAACGAGAAAAATGACATCGAGCGTTCCGTCGATGTCGTTGATGAATATAACAAGTGTTGTGCGTGTAGATGTGATACAACTTATGAATACGAAATTCGGAACCCGTCCGTACAGAAAGAGAAGTTCTCGAACGCGCCGCCGTGAAGATGTAGATGAGGAAACATCGTGGTATTGATGAGATACGTAGCAGAGGCAGCACGCCATACGCCCATGCATCGACCTCGCCAAGATTCGTTGTGAGCGGGCGGATCCACACGCCACCGCTGTCGGCAATCGCGAGCAAGTCTCCAGTGTTAACGCGGAGGATCGATATATTCTGTGTTTTTCGGATTTACAAAGTGTTGCGCGCAGGGCGGCATGTGTACAGGGCTGTCGGGCTCGCTTGCGAAGTACATATTTCTCTTGTTGTTATTGAGCACACCGTTGTGCTTCTCCGATGCGCACATTTCTAGACTATGCCTATTTTAGGAAGATGTAACGCGTGCTGTACGTTTGGAGAGACCTTCTATTGCACGAACGCGCCACATCAAGCTCGCAACATTTTTCCATCCCGAGGCCCCTGTAGACTTATTGTTGTTGTCAGAATGAGTCCGTGGATAAACAATGAAGAAGAACAACCAACGAAAGCCATCAATTGACCATCGCCCGAATCTATCCAGATCATCTGTGCTAGACACAGCAGTGTAGACAAAACATCGACACTAACTAGGAATCGTTCCACATTGAAGGGATCTCCCAGGATGCAGGTACGTAGTCTACACAATCAAGGCACCCGGGTTATCCGCTATGTGTTGGGGAAGCAAGAAAGAGGAAAACTACATCTCCAGCATTATCTACATTCATGTCTCCGGATTCGGCGGTAATAACCAATGTTTGTTGCAGATCGAGCCTGCAGAGCAGGCTCTCAGCAGTCCTCTTGCGGTTTCGTTCTCTTTCTTTGCCATTTGCCTCATCAGAAGGTTACGTACATCCTCTATTTTCCAGCGGTACACAGCAGCATTAGTCTGCACTTAAAATATGTCTGAAGGGTGGACTACGGAGGTGGCTACTTCGCTGGTTTGGTGCTAGTTGAACAGTACGAGTATAGTGCCGGCGCCCGGTATTTTGTTGGTGTTTTCGGTGGGCACACAGCGGGAGTCACCAAGTCATTTAGTCTATATTCTTTGGAAGTTTGGAAGCGCCAATTGATTCGCCGGGCACATCGATACGGCGTGATTGCTGCCCCCCCCTCCTGTCATGGAGCGAGATTGTAGATCGAAGTTGTTGGGGTGATGCAGGGCGAAATATGCCAAAGGGGGGCGTGCATTGCGACGCAACGAATGCGTGAGTTGCCTCATCGGTTTGTTGTGCCGCACAAACGCTGGGCACAAGTCGCGTTTCTTGGCGGTGGGGATACCCCAAATGTCCCCAACTTTCAACACTTTGACAACCTCTGTGAGTACCGTGAGTTCATCCTTTGACAATGCTCCAAGGGGACGAACGAACGTCCCCGGGGTCACTCTCACTGATGAGAGGGGGGGAAACTTTCCATCGAAACTAAAAACACCCCGGGGCCAAAAGTCCCCGCGCGCGGGTGCGGATAATTGCGAATGACTGTGAAAAGAGTTACAGCGCTGAAAGGATGTATCTGTTCGTTTTTGCGACACCCTCAAATTTTTACGCTTGCGGGCCTCACGATATCGGGGACAAACAATGAGCACAAGCACACACTACACGGAGGCAGAGAAAACAGCACGTGAGAAACGAAAGACGGGCGATTTGGGAAGCTTGAGCCCTTCGTCACAGGGGGTTGACACCCCCGCCGGCACTACCTCCGAAAAAGGGCAGCAACTGTTGTATGTACACGAACAGCACCATCAGCAGCAGCAGCA